CAGAGCCATCCTGCCTGCCTTGCCAGCTCACCCACCCTGGGGACCCCGCGCTGCCCCCCGCCCTCCTGCAGCAAGAGGGGGCTGAAGCCCCTGCGGAGCAGCCGCCTCACCCGCAGAGCTGCAGAAGCCCCGAGACAGGGGGGCACCAACCCGCTCCAGCACCGACCCGAGCCGGGGGGCTCAGCGCTGCTCCTGCAGCAGCTGCGCCACGTCCCGCCCCCAAGGCTTCTGGGTTTTTAAGCTAGTATCTGCTCAATGCATTATGGAGATAGTTAATCCTGTGGCTTTTATTTTACAGAAAGCAGACAAAGAGCACCAAAGCTTTCCTGAGAGCAGTCAGCCTCAGATGCATGGAAGAGATGCTTACTTTACTATGCTGGCTCAAACTCTGACACTTGCTAATCATAATAAAATCCACTGACGACATGTAGCTGGGCTGCCATTTGTTCAAAATTCTGAGCAAAATTTGGCTTCAGTATAAAGATGGAAATCTTTATAATATTTCATTTTGGAAATTTTTCCTTTTGAGGAATGTATTTATCCCCTGTTACTGCTTCCTCAGTTTGGTTTTACGTACTTAAGAGGATGTTTTAAAAAAACACCAAATAAATAAAAACTAGATAAAACCCTACAACAACAGATATCTGTTCTAAAACCCAGAGGAACCAATTGTCTTGCAACACTTGCCTTTTTCACTTAGCAAAATGTTTCAACTGGCTGTAATTCAGATGAATTCATGGACTAATCATCAATCACTTGACAATACAGGCACACCCCTGAATGAACCCTTGCAAACAAAGTGCCTTTTCTATCCATCTATTTCTCATGCGCATTTGAGAACTCCCTGTCCCCCATGAGCAAAAGGCAAAGCCAGCCGTCCATCTGCCCCCAGCAAGCCTGGCCTCCCCGTCACATCGGCAGGGAACGATGCGGCTCTGCAGCTTCCAGGGGCACGAGGAGGCCCTGTGACGTGCGCTGCAGCACCTGCCGCAAAAAACTGGCTCAGAATACCTCACCAGGAGCCAAGGGAAATGAAGGTGGCTTTGTGAGGCACTGCAGTGGAGAGCCCAAACTGCTCAGCTGCGTTTAACCTTTCCACCGTAATTGCAAAATGAGACAGAGCATCCTGCAGCAAGGGTGGCATTTTACTGAGTGGCGGTTCTCAAAGGAAGGTTTCTTCAATCTGTTTAGGTTAGGACACCTATTACACAGCTTATATTTATGTGGCAGAAAGTCAGATGCATTTAAGGTCAGATTTTTAATGGGAACAAGGCACTTTAATTCATTTAAAATCTATCCTTAATTGAAAGGTAGCAACAGCAGCAGGAAAGGGAAGGAAAGATGAGGTAAAGGAAGATTCTTGCTAAAATGAGAAAAAAAAGAGAGAAGAGAGTACTAGAAAATTAACAGATTATGTTTGCCACAAAAAGCTTCCAAAAGCTTAATAAATTGTGCAAATTGGCATTAATTAGAGATGGGCACAAAGCACAAGCCTATCTGCAAGCACACAGCACATCCCCTGGCACCCAAGGGACGCGTCCCCTTCCCTGTGGGCTGCGCCCACCCGCGCTGCCTGCTCTGCCTGCTGCCAGCCCCCCGGGGACGGCAGCCGGAGCGAGCACTGCCAGCCAGGCTGAAAATCCCTGTCAAGGGCACGAAACTGGTGCGGAAACAGCTTCCTTTGTCTGCTGTGTTACAGGTGCACTGCACTGTTTTACGCATCAGAACTGAAAGGCAGCAGTGAATTTCCTAAAGCAACTATAGAAAACAACCATTCTTGAAAAATAAATCCACATTCTTCTCCTTCTGGAACGAGCCCATCCCTGCGTCATTCCCCTCTAGATATCATCTGTCTGTCTGGACACCACTAAATCTCTAGCAGTTATGCACATTAAGATTAAGGAGCAGGGAAGGAGCCCTGAGCAGTGAAAGCCAAATGAAGAACTTTAGCACATGTTCACCAGTCTCCCCCCCCAAAGCTACACACGTACCGAGACACTGGAACCCCCAAAGAACCCCGACGCCTCTCCTGTAAAACAAAGTCATCCCGCAGCCAAAGTGCACAACACACTCCTCCATCATCTCTGAAACATTGAATTCATTCTGCCTTCTTCCTTTCCCCCAAGGGAGTAATCTCCACGACTTGCCAACAACTAAATGTCATCGCTACAAGGTACTGAGAGAAATAAACCCCAGCTGGGGTATCAGTTTTTTCAGTTGCAGAGGAACAAATGGAGCTGGGAGGAGAATTCAGGACAGAACAAGAAGCAACCAGGCTCTCCCTGACATCAATCCCAGACCTTTGTGATTAAAAACCCTCAGCCTCTACCTCTGTTCACATCCCAAAGCACTTTCTGGTTTTCTTTGGGACGGGAAATGCACACAGCAAACATTGGAGAACAGCTGATCGAGCGAGGCTGAAACCAAGTCTGCAGACTCAAGGGTCGGAGAAGCTTTCCAAGCAGCGAAGAGTTATTGGCCTTCACTACACTTAGCAGAAGGCACTGAGCTAAAGCAGCAAAACCCCTCTGGGTCCCAGGAGCCATGGCTGCGTGGCACTGATAGGCAGGTACGGGAACCGTCGTTATCCACAGAGATCTGTGCGGGCAAGACAGCGGCCGACCCTGTTCACGCAACTAATGACCCTCATGTGACCAGCAAATGTCTCTACGGGCTTGCTGCATGTGCAGCCTGCTGGCCTGAGCTTGGAGATGACTCTGGTGATCCTCATGATGCTAGGAAGAATTTAAAAGAGCCAAAAGGGGCATAGCAAGATGCTTTAGCTCTCCCTCGCCTCCAGTGTTGCCAATGTGCACTCTTAGTGTCTTTTCTTAACAACTTCCATTACAGACCTATGGCCCTTCTTACAGCATAAGCTGCTATTTGCAAAACTTGGGTGTACTTGCCCCCTATTTATTGCTTCTCCTGTCCCACCCTATTCTCTGAGAAGAGCTGTCACATATACTTACTTATAGTAGATATCAAATCTTGAAACCTTTCCTTAGGAAAGAGGGGGTTTTCCAGTCCTCGGAAATACAGCTTCAAGACTCCAGCCACTGAATTAATGTCACGTTCATTTTGATCATCAGCCAGGGGATCTTCACCTGCCCAGAGAAGAGTTATTATTTCCAGCATTACTGTCAAGTTGGACTAACACAGCAAGTGTGTTTTCCTGACTCAGCGGAACACCAAAATTTCCCACAGTTCAGAAAACCCTCCTGTGTGCGCAATGGTAATGCTATGCACTTTGCCAACAAGAGGAGAGTTTAATAAGGTTCCGTTACACAGCATCATGCTGAGCCCTTTTCCTTGCGAAGCTGCCCAAGGATCGATGCCACCAAGGTGGTGGCCATTACCCCTGTTTAGACCGTCCCTTTCACAGCTTTGCCTTCACTCGGTGACAGCAGGATTGCTCTGCCCCGTCTTGCCAGCCTTACATCTTCTATGTGGTTTTCTCAACAGACTCACTGGCAGCTCCATGACCAGCACTGCCAGCAGGTAACACGGCAATGCTGACAAACTGCTGCAGGAAGGAGGAAAATGGATCCCCAACAAACTATTGTATGGCGCTCACCTGAGGCTTTCACGCTCTTAATTAATGACAGTGGAAGAGATCTCTGCACCCACCCCTACTTCTCATACTCTTTCCCTAAGCGACTCTCCGCTGTTGCTGGAGATACAACACTGAGATTCCTAGAAGGGGATAAAGGCTCCTCGTGTCTCGAGCAGAAAGGCCTTTAGCACAGGCTTTACAGCAAGTCCAACGCACCCAGCACACACAAGCTCCCACCAAGGGCCTCTGCTCAGACACGGCGTCCCAGCTGTAGCTGCACACCCTGCAACTCACCTCTCTCAAACGAGTTCTTGATGTCGTTGACCTCCACCTGGGAGCCGGGGACTCTGAAAATGCCCTGCTGCTGGAGGCCTGGAAGAGAATGACGTTTTGGAAAAGATTTCTGTTACGCAGTACTTTCTGGTAAAGAACAGCAGAAACTAGGAGTGGATGCACCCGGGAAGGCGCAGAGCCAGAAGGGGACAGCCTGCTACCATGTGTTTCTGCTCACAGTCTCCAATCAAGGCCCCCCAGACCAAAGCGCTGAAAGGGCTCCCGTTGGCCTGGGGCCTGAACGCACGTTTCACCTGAATAAGTGCTAACGAGACCTGAATACGTGCCAGTTGTCCAGTGCTACATCACAGTCAGTGCCATGTAATTATAACCTGAGCCCACGTAGCAAGGGCTGCGGGCATCTCTATTACACTTCACTGCTAACTACAAGTACTTAATTTCCTTTGCAGAAAGTTTCTGTTGACATTACTAAATCAACTTACCGTACAAATTGATGTAACGAATGCAGCTTTCTACTACAAGTGGAATAGCCTGTCCTGAATCCTTCATGAAAGGAAAAGAATAAATAAAAAATTACCGGTTTATCAATAACAAAGCATGGCAAATGCATTAATGATTGCAAAAATAGATTGGAAAATCAGTGCGATTTAGTTTAGTAAGAGGACAGGGAAGAAAAGGAAGCGTTACGTCAAGCCATCAAAAAGTGCTGAGTATACTATGTGCACAAAAATGATGCACTAAAAAAGCTTTCACCAAGGTGTGTGAAAGACTGGTGCTCACTATCTGGTTGAGACAGGGACTGATGCAACAGGATCAAAGCTATTCCATTTCAAAGGTGTAATGCTGAGCCGAAATAGAACTTGTGCTACACCTGTCTGATGAAATAAGCTTCCAGTAACAGAGCTTACAACAACATTTCCACCTAGAGAAAGAGCCGTTGTCAACAGATGCTAAAAAAAACCCCAAAACACCACAGTGTATGAAATTAACTGCCTGTATCTGAACCTGCAATGAGCTTTGGCTTTTGTTTCAAAGCTGCTTCTCTCCAGGCCCCCTGCTGAAGGAGCTCAAGGGGGAATGTGAGCCGTGCCTGACTGCCTAAGTGGGCATTTATTTTCCTTAGGGTCTTTGGTTGATTTTTCCAGCAGAGTACAGTTGCATCTCTCTGGTTAATTTACTCCGTCTCGTAGACGGGCCTCCAGTAAATACCTGGTTTCTCGTTCGCGCATTCCTCCTTCCTCTGAGAACACAAAAAAGCAGCAGAGCAGGGAAAAAAGAAAAGATTAAGCAAGGATAAGTTCAGTTAGAGGTAAGCATCTCTTTCGGAGGCCATGAACGCTCAAATGCAATGGCAGCTTAGCAAGGTCCAACCCAGGCCTTCAGGCTGTCCACCCTTCCTCCCAAACCCCGTCTGGCACGCTGCCCCCGAGCCTCGGCGACCTGCAGGAACAGCCTCTCGGATTTCTTCCCTCTCTGAACCTCGCAGGAGCCCGAGGCCAACGCCAGCCCCTGCCCGGGCGCAGGCAAAGCTCCGGGCAGAGCCGCGGAGGCACCAGGTAGCTGCCACAGCCCCGCGCCCTGCCGGACCCTGCGTCTCCCAGGGCAGCGCGTGGCCCCGAGCACCGCTCCAGCAGCACAGCACCATGCCCCGGGAGTCTCTGCAGGCACAGGACAGCCCTCCGCTCAGACAGGTTTCCGCTGCAGATAATTCCTCCTCCACAGTGCTGAACACGCTGGGCTTTAATGAGCATTACTTTTTTAAAAATCAGTTTAAGTAAGGAATAATTACAAGTATTAAAGGGATTACCAACTTTGTCAGTCGGGCCTGTACATTACTTGTGACAGCACACTGTTTATAAACACTGCCCTTAGGCTTACGGTTGCACTAGAAGAGCCTAAGAGAATAAATGGGAGCTGGACAATGCCTATTAGTTTACCTAATCCAACAGTTAGTCATTACTGCTTCCTACAGTATTTTCACTAAAGCTTTCTTCAGTGCAGGATTAAACACTCTGAGCAACCAGAGCAGCATCGCTTCCTTTGGAAATCCTTCCAGCAGCCAGGCAATAGCAAAGTGCTGGATTTCAGAGGATCAGCAGCTAGATAGCTGGAGATATCCTTTGGGACAAATCCCACATCCACATCTCTTCACTTTTCTCAAGTCTCTCCTTCTGGGTAATTTCCTGGGATAAGTAGGGCCAAACGCCCCCTTCGATGGGGACCGCACCGGTATTAACTGAGTTCATCTGAGGTCACCCCAGCGTAAGTGAAGAAAATACTTTGGCCCACATTTATGAAGGCCACACGCTACCACTGATGGTTTGGAGGAAACCACTCAGCAGCCCATTAGGAATCGCTTTGCTCCAACGCTGGAAGCGAAGCCCACGGTCCTGGCCAGGCACTGGCGTGGATTGCAGTCAGCGTGCAAGCTGCAGCGCCTCCTCTCCTGGAGCGTTCGGAGGTGACAGCCCCCCGTGGGAGAGGCTCACGGCTCCACACCAACACGGCTCTCGCCCGTCCTCCCTGCAGGTTAACGCTCCTCTGTGGGCTGTGGGAAGGGGCCTTCAGACTCCCAGCAAGTGCCAAGCTGCACGAGATGGCATTGGCCACCTATCACAGCTGGCACTGAGATGAGCCAGCCGGGCTGGCTATCATTAATACATTTTGTTCAAGGATGAAGATAGCACGTCTACCCTCCCATGCAGCCACCCGTATGCACGGTATTTCAATTCAAGGCTGCCAGTCCTTACAGCTGGGAGACACTTTCTGGAGCTTATGAGTCATTTTATCTTCCTCAGCCACGGGGGAAGACGACCACCAAAAATGTGTGGAAAAAGGGAAGGTGGGGGATCTGTTGATCCTTTGAGGGTGTTGGGCTGCGTTGCCCTTGCTGTCTCATCTCCCTTCCCAGGATGGGTGGAAGTGGCGCTGGACGACAGCAACCCTCAGCCAAGAGCATCTCGTGCCACACAGCCGGCCAGCACGGCCAACGGCCACCAGTCGTGAGGGTCCTCACTGCCACCCTCGCCCCGGGGCACGCAGGCGGTGATGGGGCGGGTAACGCAAGGAATGCATGAGGGGTGAGGACAGCTATGGAGAGAAATCGTCACTGAGGCAAAGTGCGCGCTGGCCACGTCAACTGGGTGCAGGGCGGATGGAGAGACCCCGCGCAGGAAGGAAAGCAGGCAGCAGTTAGGACAGGAAAGCCACCATTACATTCACAGCGTTCATAAACTCTTACTGTCAGCCAGCGAGTACCTTAATGAACGTTTCCATATTGCCGTTAAAGAGTTTATGATTATAGACTGAGAGAGGCCTAGGTCTCCTCATTTTCTGTGGCTTAGGGGGAAGACATGGGGGCCTGGGAGAAAATGGAACAAAATAAATCAACAAAACACCAACATAAATGCAATGACAGGGTGAGATCTCAAAGGTTATGACCAAGAATAAAAATGTAAACGAAACAGAAAAATCTCTCTGTGAGGACTCAACACATGGCTCTACGCACTCTGCAGCCGCTCACGCTTCAGCATCCCCA